TCGGCCTATTCTTTGGACGAAGGGGTGTTCGGCCCGTTCATTGGCCGAAGGGGTGTTCGACCTGTTCTTTGGCCGAAGGGGTGTTCGGCCTGTTCATTGGCCAAAGGGGTGTTCGGCCTATTCATTGGCCTAAGGGGTATTCGACCTATTCATTGGCCTGATGGGTACTCGGCCTGATGGGGTACTCAGCCTATTCATTGGCCTGATGGGTACTCGGTCTGAGGGGATACTCGGCCTGAGGGGATACTCGGCCTATTCATGGCCTGATGGGTACTCGGCCTGAGGGGGTACTCGGCCTATTCATTGGCCTGATGGGTACTCGACCTGAAGGAGTACTCGGGTATGTTTTGCGTTTTGGGTACATCTCGGTCTTTTTCAAGGCCGACGGGGTGCGTTTGGTATTGACTTTGACTGGGTGGTGTATATTCCTAGTACAACATTATTTGTTTGTTAGAAAACTATATATTAGGGTGGCAAAATAGGTTTTGGTTCATTGGGTCGTTGGCTTGTTAAAATTTGGTAAATCGAACTTATCATTTTAACTCGTTAACCCGTCAAGTCCGTCAATCTATCGATAATTTTTTTACAATTTTTTTTACATTTTTTAATATAATGCGAGTTGACCGTCGACTCGCTAGCCTGCTAACCCACATTTAGGCATAATAGACTAACATTTTTAGCCCGCTTTTCAATGGCGAGTCGACCCAACTCAATCTATTTTTAGAGGGCAATTGATGGACCAGACAAAAACGGGCCAGATTAACCCATTTTGCCACCCTTACTATATATCAAAACACATGGAAAAAATAATTATTAAAGGAGGTAATAAAATATATTGTAAGAGCATTATTTATTGTTTTATAACAGAGCACCATAAGCCTATGTTCCAGTTACCTTGTCTTCACGTGACACCCTTGCAACAGGTTCAGGACGGAAAGAAAGAAAAAACTTTCCAATTAAAATAGTCGAAACATAATTTAAGAAAAATTACATTCATCTCTCTAAAATCTTTTTAAATAATACACACTTTTCTTTTAAATTTTAAGTTAACATAAAGTTATTTTATTTATTTATCTAAATGACATATAAAACTTATTATATAAAATAATATTATTTATACATTGTTAAGAGATAATAAATTATTAATGTAAGTGTTAATAATTAAATAAAATTTAATTTCTTAATTTTAACTCTTAAATCATATTCTAAATGTCATATGTGTTGTGATTTAAAAAATGTACCAACTTCAAAAAATAATTTTAAAAAATAAAAGAAATTATTATTTTTAAAATTAAAGAATAATAAATTTTTCATAAAAATAGAATATTATACGTAATTTAGAAATGAATAATAATCGATTAACAGAATATAAATTAATTTTTATTTTATTTATTTCTCTCACTTTAACTAATGACATTATTTAAAAAAAATGAGTAATATTTAAAAAAATTAAAAGAGTGGTGTAAATCATTTAAACAAATCTCACGGTGAGTGGAAAATTTCCAATTATTCATTAAAAAAAGACAATAAATAATTTATTTGAGTTGTTAACTGACAATTGTTTTTTTTTTCATTAAGTTTTTATCAATGTCAGAGAGATAAACTATTATATTAAAACAACTAGTAGATTTTTTTTTATCGACAATATAATATATATTGGTAGGAAGTGGTATATTGAATATGCAAGTCATTCTATTCCCAAGCTTTCATGAATTGTTATTTCACAATAAAGACATTCCTTGTACGATTACTGCCCAGATAACTTATTTTCAAACAACTAAATGCCAAAATTACATTGTTCTTTTTAGTTTTTGCTTTTAATCAAACTTAGATTTTGAGAACATAATCATGTTTAATTTGATATTAAACAACCAAATATGATTTTCCCCCCTAAAAGTATATCTACAACTGTGGGATTGTTTACCAATAACACCAAAAAATAAAATAAAATAAAGAAATCATTATTGCATCTTTATTTGCCTAGGCAATTACGGTTGCCACTCTCCCACACGAAATAACTTTTTCCCTACTAATTGAAAATGGAGAGGTAATCCGTAAATGCTACAGTCACAATCAGTATTTCATTATACCATCTTTGGAGGTGACAAAGTCAAGGGACGGTGGAAAAAAATTCTCCAAATCAAGTAAACTGCAATCTCAAATACAAACATATCAACCATTAAACTAGTTTTTCCACAGAAAGAAACGAGATGTACCTTTCATGGCAAATTTTAACCAAATATAGGAAATGTGACATGTGACATATATAACAAATGGGATCATTTTCCCATAACGTAAATAGAATCATTGATTGTAACAAAATTTATGCATACCCACATGTAGAGGTCTAATTCTTTTTTGGGTCAGAACCACATATTCTTCTATTGATGGTGAGAGACTAATTTATTTCAATATGAAGATGATTGAAGTGTATTGAAATATGAGTTAGAACATAAATAAATTTTGTAGAATCAGTTTATAAGATAAAAATTATTTTTGACTTACACGATTTTCTTTTGTGTACACGTAACCAGATAATCAAATCATGTTAACATAGTTAAAAACCCGGTATCTAGGACTATGTACCTTCATGGTTAAGGGTCTAATTAATTGAGGATCATAGGAGCAACCTTAATTTTACGTGAACCTATAGGACAAGTCCTCTGATATAGGAACCAAATCAAGTCTCATATGATATGAGCTTCGTGATATGTGTCGGCTAAGGCTAGTGACCCTACTGCCATCCCCACCATGCCCACAATCGTTCCCTTCTTCGGTCTTACCGACAGAGTAATGCGTGTTTCCGATCGTGTGAATTTGTCTGCATGTGTAGGTCAAGAAAAGAAGCTCTTGCAAGTCGTAACTGAAAATTCAGAGAACACAAATCCCCATTATTTACATTTCTCGTGTCACATTTATTGTTTGCATAATTTGTGGTTCTATATGTATTAATTATTCTTTGCGACTATATTTTTTGGGGTTATTATTTTTACACATTGTACTGTGGTGGTTGTAGCTGGAAACTTGCTAGTGCCGTATAGTTCATAGATCTATGCCCTGAGGTTATGTGCTTTGGTCATGGGAAACCGTGCCTTTATTTCTTGTACTCTTTGGCACCCAGGACACTAAATATTGTTAGATTCGTGGGACACTAGTCAAGGGTCCAGGCTACCAAATACTGAAAGGAGGTTCTTCTTAATTGAGCCTATTTTATTTAAGAAGGATGTCTCAAACGTAAAATTTGTAGGATTAATCATATGAGAATTGAAGTGAATAGAATGAGATAACTTATAAGACTGATTTATAAAATTAGAATTATCTTAACTTATATAAATGATTTAGTCATGTTACTAGTACACCCGGGATTTCTCTGATTTTCATATTTTGGTTTTCAAAAATTGCTCACAATCTTTTCCAAAATCTAGTTGATTGCTCGTTTGGGGGATATACCGTTTTGATTTGGATAGTTTGTATCATTAAATGTGGCCTAATATGGTAAGCACACATCTTCGTAGAGAAAAACTGAAAAACACTTACCAATCCACTGTAATTGTTCGGAAACAGATTCCCTGTTGTCACGCATTTGTGTTAATAAATCGGTACCATTAGATAAATTAAAGATTAGATTTTTTAAATTTCAAATAACGTTCACTCCAGAAGATTAAAATCAAGAATTTGTCTATATCAAGGAACCAATCAACTAAATAAGTAATCCATTAGTTTGTTTCAACCAAAAATAAAATAACTACTCCATATTGTGGAGTAAAATATGTACAAATTTTGGAGAAATTCTAACAACTTATTACATGTTTGAAAATCTATTTTTTTAACGAAAACGTAAAAACACGCGTTTCAAAACATCAAAATATAAAATAACTTTTTCTATTTTTTTAGTTGAACATAAGTTTGCAAGATTTTAACAATAAACCAAATACACACTTACACCTACTCATATTTAATCTTACAATGAGTTTTGATTAGTTGATCCTACGCCTTAAACATTTGATGGTCCACAAACATCTAATGTGATTGGTTGCAATCTATATATGGACTCTTTTTCTTGATTATGGGTCTTTTTAACTCTAAAGATTATGAATGAAGTTCATTTCTACGAGTCAATCAATGATCCGTGTGCCCTCTGATATCAAGTTTTGGGGACCATTGTATAATGCCTAGTTCCTGACCCACCCTATTCACGAAATTTCCATAGGTTATAAAACACACCATTACTCACTTGGGGTTCATAAAATTTGACTATATCAGAATCTGGTCCACTCCTCTTTCGCTTTAACTTATTATTTATGCATTCATTTATTTGTTTAACTTTGGCCTCCACTTACAGTCACGCTTCACTAGTACTGAATAGTAGCAGACACAATGAAGAGGGAGATGGTATGGTGAAAAGTGCAAAAAATTGGGTTAATCCGGCAAGCGCTTTCAGACCTCTGACACATCTATAATGTTGGTGTATTGAGACATGTATTTTTCTTATTTTATTAGTTATTAGTTATTACTCAAAAAACAAGTGATAAAGGAATATTGTGTGTAAATAACATCATTGTACTATTGTATTTAGAATTAGTATTTTTTTAAGAGCCATGCAAACACAACACGAGTTTAAGAGTCACATTTAAGGCACCCCATCTACCCTCTCATGCATGCCATCAACTTTTCTAAGCTCTCCTACCAGGCCAAAAAGTTATCTGCCATTTTTTTTGGTAAAGAATCTGACAATAATAGTAAGAAGGAAGGTAGTTTCATTGGGAAAAAGAGCATGACATAATTTGTGACCCTGCAAATTGTAATTGAATGTTATCCAACAATTAAAGAGACCTTCCCTTTTGTCTATAATGATCTATAATTAATTATTGCTATGATTAATTATCTAATCCTTCCTCAGTTTCAGAGTTAATTCTTTATGGAGGGACCCTCTAATTTTCTTTTTTTTTTATCAAACTGTACTGCCATACTCATATTATTTCATATGCACCTTTCTTTGAACAGTTCCTCTCCCTTTCACTCTCACACCCTGCATTTATAATAGCATCATCATTCTGCTTCCTGCTTACACTTTAGCTTACTCACCTTTTTCCTTCATGGCTCTGATACTACTCTTTGCTATTTTATTCTTTATGGCATCCTCAAGCAATGCCTACTGGCCACCTTCACCAGGTTACTGGCCTAGTTCCAAATTCAGGACAGTAAACTTTTACACAGGGTTTAGAAATCTCTGGGGCCCTCAGCACCAAGGCATAGACCAAAATGCATTAACAATATGGCTTGATAGAACCTCAGGTCTGAATAATCTTTAGTTTAAATTCACTTTCATTGCTTTATTAGCTACTATATATCTATGTCATTGAAATGTGACACATGTTTTGGTTAACACTATACAGGGAGTGGCTTCAAGTCGGTTAGACCATTTCGATCCGGTTACTTTGGTGCATCCATTAAGCTCCATCCTGGCTACACTGCAGGAGTTATAACAGCTTTCTATGTAAGATATGGTGAAATGAAATTTGCAAAAGTATAAGAGCTTATTTGGATATAAACTTAGAAGAACTTTTCAGAATTTTTTTATAAAAAATAGAGTAGTACAGAAGCTTGTATAAGCTTATATATAAACAGACTCTAACTTGATTGAGGGAAGTTTACACATTCATTTTTAGTTTAAGTTCACTAATGATTTGATTAATAACAGCTTTCTAACAATGAGGCGCATCCGGGCTTCCACGATGAAGTGGACATTGAGTTTCTTGGGACGACATTTGGAAAGCCTTATACATTGCAGACCAATGTTTATATAAGAGGGAGCGGGGATGGCACAATTATTGGCAGAGAAATGAAGTTCCATCTTTGGTTTGATCCTACCAAAGATTTTCATCACTATGCTATACTCTGGAATCCTAAGGAAATAATGTAAGTCACTGTACATTTTACTATGCAAGTATATATCTGTATGGTGGTGTTTGAAATGGCGAGATTTGTTAGTCCTAGTTAGAAAAAAAGTAGAGCACACGGGGTAGGCAACATTTCATTTTCTACTGAAGTAGATAGAAGGGAGTAAAAAAAGAATCAACTGTATAAACTTGGGCTCCATGATTGTGGCATTGATTTGACTGGCCCTTACAAAAAGGTACCATAGTTTAGGCACGACTGAGTGATATTTTGGATGGTGAGAGAGAAAGAATTCTGTTTTCTCTGAAATTGAGGAAAGAAAAAGAGGCATTTGACAATTGACAGGGTTAATCATATAAAATCAAGATCACATGAACAACACAAGAAGTATGAAAATAGAACTATTAAGAAGTGCAGGGTAAAGTAAAATCTGGTGACTCCTAAAAAATGAAGGGACATTTAGTCCTATCTTTATGGCCACTAAAGTTATTAAAAAAATAGTTTTACTCTTTCTGTCTTGCATTAATTTCTATGCACTCACAACTATAAAATCACATAAAATAAACTAGGCACTATTTATACTCTCATTCAATTATAAATTGTAAGAGAATTGATTTTCCAATCATTCTCTTAAAAGTTTTACTAACTATAAACATGAAAATCTAAAACCGTTATTGACATAACTTTAAAGTATTTTTTTTTTAATATTTAACAAATTTATCATACATGATGACATTTTACAAACGCTCATCACATTAGAAGTGTTTTTCATTAACTTCTTTTACTGACATTATGACACAAAATCTCAGATTCCTTGTGGATGATGTGCCCATAAGGAGGTATCCAAGGAAGAGTGCTGAAACATTTCCACTGAGGCCAATGTGGCTTTATGGTTCAATATGGGATGCTTCATCATGGGCAACAGAAGATGGAAAGTACAAAGCTGATTACAGATACCAACCTTTTGTTGCAAGGTACACCAACTTCAAGGCTGGTGGTTGCTCTGCCTATGCCTCTCGTTGGTGCCGTCCAGTCTCAGCCTCACCATATCGCTCTGGTGGCTTAACCAGAAGACAATTTTGGGCCATGAGATGGGTGCAAAAACACCACATGGTTTATAACTATTGCCAAGACCCCAAAAGAGACCACAGACTAACACCTGAGTGTTGGGGGTAACATTTTCAACTGAGTAAAGTTATGCAATATTTGGTTGGTATACTAAACCATTTATTGGTTCATATGAATAAATTAGTTGTGTGTTTTGTTACACTAAATCCTACTAATTGTGATTTGTTTGATGTGGTAAAGTAAAATTTAAAGTAAGATTGGATTTAGTGTAGTAAGGTGCATATTTTTTTTGCTTATATGGATAATAAATGATTTATCACATCGAATACTGCATAATTTTACTGCAGAAGAACCGAACTCTCCCAAATGACTACTCTTTGTGTGATTTGATATATAAGTTGTGTTATCTTTTAGAAAGTTTTAATTTTTCTTAATGGGAATGACAAGAGATGGGGCCATTCCTTGACAACAACATTGATGCAAGCGTACGGATTGAGAGTCCAAGGGTCCTCCTAGACAGAAGAAATTTGGTATGATTGAGTGGATTTTTTCGTTTTGTTGTATTTCTCTTTTGGTTAGAACAAGTTAAAAAGAAGAAAGAAAATGAAGAGAGATTAGACCAAGCAGTATTGGGGTGGGGTGAATGCGAATATTATATGCACACTCATCATCTTATAATAATGTCATTGGCATTTTAATGACGAAAATAAGAATTTTCATTTTTGTGTTAAGTGTGTTCTTCTGTTTGACTCGTGCGAAACCAATTGCAATGCAATTATTGCAAGGAAACTTCTACAGCGTTTCAGCAGATTCTCTCCACGGGTCTGTCATGATTTGCTTGAATCTATTAGCAATAGTACTCTAATTTTCAGATTGGTTCATTCATCTAATGATCAAGGATATCATTGGCACTCTGAACTTACTCCAAACTTAATGACTAGACCATAAATGCATGGCAGCTGTTCTATTCTTTATAAGTTGTGCTTGTGACACAATTATTTTTAATTACAAAATTCATATATATGTTCGTATAATTACAACAACAAAAAAATTGAGTGAAATAAACGTAAAATTATGGAAGAGTAAGTTGCACTTGGACAGTTAAAAACTTGATGCTATTTACTTTTTATAATGCCTGATGAAGATAAGGTACACTATTCTCGATTTATAATTATAACGTGGGTCCTAGCAATCTGGCAATAAATACGAAGTAACAAAAGGGAAAATGAAAGTGGCAATTAGAAACATTAAAATGGCAACTTAGTTGCGTTGTGTAAATTGGGGAAACGTGATTGTTCATCCAAATTAGCAAACATGATTTGTTAATGTAGAAAGTAGAAAGTAGAGGACCATAATAGCGTCGTGGTGAAGAGCTTTCGAATCATTAATAAAGTCAAAAAGATGAAATTGCTGTCTAATTAACTAATAGACGTGGCTAAGTAATATTGGTGACAATTACTTCGCCCATTCTCCTCCCTATGCTTATTTATTTATTTATTCATGAGATTTATTAAAGTAGATCAACTTGCTTTATAGTTGTGGTTTTGTGGAGAATTTTAATAAGTTATAATTATAATTATTTTAAAATATAAATGTACTCTAAGTAACTAAAAATCAGTATTAGTTAACAAATTCTTATTTGATGAAATTTGGTCACGTACACTAACTTTTTTTTTTTTTTTTGTGTTATATTATATTCTTCAAAATATTTTAACTGAAATTTATTCTTGGATATATTCAAAAAAGAAATGTGCTCGATTTTATTATAATATTTCTTGAAATTTAAAACAATTTAAATACAAAATAATTAGAAAACAAGTTACAAGTGTTAGGATGTAACTTCTAATATTTCTAAGAAAATATCATTTTCTTACACCCTCAACATGAAGATAAAAATGTAAAAACATGACAATATTTTTGAGAATGACTCGAGAATAATTTTTTAAAATGTGTGAAATTGGAATATTACTATTTTTTTTAATGTTTATATTCCTAGAAAGTAACTTTTAATCCTTGAAACAAACATTCCATAACTACAAATTTTTTAATATACAGCTACGATTTAACTAATGGTATTTACTAAAAATAAATAAATGAGTGTATGTTAACATATTCTTTTATTTATTTAATAACATTTGATATTCTCTCTGGTTTTTAAGAGAACCTTTCTCAATTGTTGCAAACCACACTTGTAAATTGTGATTGAAAAGGGAATAAAATCACCGCAAAACAATATAGATATGATTAGGAAAGGTATTTTTCGATTATTCTTATCTTCTTGTTGGAAGCACGTACTATTTTAAAAAAAAAAAAAACTAATTTTCATAAAGAAGTTTACTGACAAATATGTTTTTGTTGGTTATTGATTCAAGTATTAGAAAATATAACCTTTTATACAAATTTACTATCAATTACACGAAAAAAATATATATGGACTTTTTCTTCTTCATGAATTGGAGTTTGTTTGCATAGACAGTTCAATTAAAAATTTTATTAAGGAAGCCCTTATTAGTAAAAGCTTATGTGTAAGTTCTTTTTATAATTAAAATAAAAATAAGGTCAAATTTTGCTTATATAAACTATAAATTGTTTTCAAAAGCTATTTTGAGAGAATTTATTAAAATAATACGTTGAAAACGACTCATGAAATATCAAAACCTATTTTTATAAGTTCTTTCAAATACTTGCACAAGCACTTACGTCATAAAAAAAAAATCCACAAGTATTTTAAATAAAATTCTCCTAACATAGAATTACTTTTCTTCAAAACTAACTAAATCTAACTTGCTTCGGGATTCAATTGGAAATCCAAGTTCTTATATATATATATATATATATAT